TCTAGTTAGTCTTTCAATGGTCCCGCCCCAAATGAAATTTTATTAAGTTCATAAAAAAAGTTCATAAAAAGTTCATAAAAAACAAATTTTGGTAAGATCCATCAATCAATGTATAAGCCTTTGTGGAGCAAACAAACAAACCAACAAAATTTCAATTATATATCATAGATGATTATCTGCAGACTAAAAGCTTTATTTTTTGACAAAATGGTGACCAACATTGTTTCTGCAAGAGAAGCAATGACGGAAGTTGCAGATGTTTGGGGCTGATCAAGAGTCTCTAATCAGCAAGTGAAAAAGAGTTATTGATTTCCGTTACAAAATTTACCTCTTTCTTTGATGAGTTATCAGAAGATTATTTTTTAGAAGAAATACCAAAGCTTTTACAAAGGAATAGTTAGTTTTTGAAGTGGCTTGTTTGTGGCTTCCAGTGAAAGAAGCTTTTAAAAACGATCCACCATCGCAGGGACAGTAAAAGCTTTTTGATCCGACTCAATTAAATATGAATTAAAAATTACAGGGTGAACGATGTTGATTTTGATCGACAGATTTGCAGCTGAAGAAAAAGGAACCCTCTGGTAACGCGATCCCATCGAGTAATGGGATCACATAGGGCAAACGGTATTTCGTCGGAGAAGGGGTCCCTTTGTAAAAAAGGATCCCACTGGGATCAAGACCCCACCGGTAAACGGGATCACAGCGAAGTTTTCTTTTTACATGTTAATTTATATTTTTATATTTCAAATGCTATCATCTCAAATATTCCTTGAATAGATGTTAAATTTCACAAATTTTAACATATATAAATATAAATCACTAGTATATATAAATATATAAGTAAAAATATGTGGATTCGTTCTTGGGTTTGTTGGTGGCTTTCTTCCGTAAATGCTTTTACATCGATTAATGGATCTTGACCAAATTTGGCACATTTATCCATAATTATCATAAACTTCCAATTCAAAGCGTTCAGTTCGTTAAAAGTAGAAAGGCTTTACTATGGTCATTCAGCTTGATTAGTGGGAGAGACTATAGTGCAAGCTGGCTTGGCAGTTTTACAACATTCTCAGAGCTATAGAAGGGCAAGAAAAAGCGAAAACTCTTCTAGGCCCTAAAAAAGGTGTCATACGTGCGAAAAAGCTTTCGCTGGGGCTGCGCACTCCGTGTAATATCTTCATCTTTAGATACTTTATTTTTCCATTCTAAAAAAATTGTGTGTAAAAATTATCAACATTTTTATCTAAGCATCAATCGTCTCCAAAGATTTTTTTCTCCAAGTGGCTGTTTAAACTGTAAAACATCCCATTAAATTTTATTACTTAAAATTTAATCTAGTTTTTAATTATTAAAACAATTTTAACATGTTCTTCAAAATTATTGTTAAAAATAATTGAAGAAACAATAGCGTTTTGTGCTCTCGTGTTTTGGCATCCATTTCTTTAAAAACAAGCAAGTCATGAGTGCACAAATACAAGTTTCATATTACAGGTTACTTGCGATACAACTGCACGTGCGGTAGATGCTGCGGCATTACCACAGCGGTGTGAAATGACCTCGCGGTGGAGGTCATAGAGGGACGGAACTACTCAAAGCTGAGTAAGACGTTCACAGTGACGAACGTTTACAACACACCACGCAATACAATTACTATCCCCACCCGAGGGGAAACGATGTTAAGGAGAACGATAATTGCTGCTGATTTTAATGCCCAATCGCCCATGTGGGGCTACACAGAACAGAATGCCTTTAGAGAGGCAAGTAGAGGAAGTCTGCCTTGAGACGAACCTCATCCGACTGCAGGACGAAGAGAGTGCGCTCACTCTCCTTCACACCGGACATAGCACGGAGTCCCGGCCAGAACTGACACTTATATTAGCCAGTCAGAGTCTGGAAGTCCTAACAGAAATTGTGAGCGACGATCTGCACATATTACTGAAGACTATTCTTGGAACATCCAAAACCCGTTGCGAGAAACGACACTGGCTCTTCCGGAAAGCCAAGTGGGGTGAGTACGAGAAGTCAGGTGACTTACGGCTGAAGTACGGGTGGCCGTCCAGCAAGCGAAAAAGTCAAAATGGGTAAGCACGTGTGAAAAGCTCGACCTCGAAGACGGTAGGAAAGTGTGGAGTCTTAATGGAAATCTTTCTGGTGTGGGGAAGGCCAAAAACCCACAACCAATTAAAACCACGAATAGCGTCGAGGCGAGCGACGCAGAGAGGGCAAAAGCACTAAATATTCACTTTGCCGCAGTGAATAAAAAGCCCAGAGACACCGAAGAGCACTGCACCATCCGACATCAAAGGAAAAGGGGATCTTGAACCCAACGCATAGGGCCCCAACCAGAGCTTTTCACGACTCCCTTCACAATGGAAGAATTGCGAACCGCACTAGACAAGTGTAGGCCAGTCAAAGCACAGGGCCTGACAAGGTACATAACGAGATGTTGACCCACCTAGGTAAACGGGAGAGAAATTTTGCTTGCTCTCATAAATATGACCTGGACGACAGGCACCCTACCGAGAAAGTTGAAAAAAGCCACAGTCATCCCAATTCCCAAAGAAGGCAATGCAGGCCATTTACCAAGTAGGCTAATCTTTAAAATCGTGTGTTGGGAAGGTAGCAGAACGAATGGTAAATGGAAGACTCTACTGGTTCCTCGAGAAGAACAAGTGCCTACAACCGACGCAAGATGGCTTCCGTTACGGAAAAAAAATTACCCATACACTTTGTCCAATCAATGACAAACGAGCTTCAGAAGAAAAATCACTCGGTAGCAGTTTTCTTTGACCTCAAGCGCACGGGCCTCATGTACAAATTTCAACATATCCGCATGGGTGGAAAACTTTTTAAAGGACATAACTATCGCCACACGGGTTGGCGACAGTATATCAGACCAATGAGTCCTTGAGGACGGACTCCCGCAGGGGTCTGCCCTCAGTTGCACCATATTCCCAGCTTACGTATATGACTTGCAAGAGGAATTAGAAAGCGAAAACGCAATGTTTGCGGACGATTTGGCTATCTGGAGGTCGGAGAGTAATGTCAAAGATCTGAAGAACCGGCTGCAAGGCGACCTAGACAGAATAGAAGCCTACACGAGGCTGTGAAAAATTGTTGTCAATAGGGACAAGCACTGGGAAAAAGTTGCAATGGGATCGGACTCCAGTTTACTTGGGGGTAAAGTTGGACTAGAAACCCCAACTTTACAACCATGTGCGCGAACTGTGCGCAAAAACCACACAGAAATTAGGCCTGGTGAAGAAGTTGGCATGCACGGACTGGGGAAGGATGCAAGACTACTGAGATCGCTCAGTAGTGTGAGAGGAGCTATGATTTACAGCCTTCTAGTTCAAACCTTCGCGAGCCGAACGGCTCTAGAGGAACTGGACCGCATACAAAACCGAGCTCTCAGGTTTGTTTGCGGGGTGATACGCACAACACCCATGGCCGCGATGGAAGACTTGGCAGACGTCGAACCACTCGAAATCAGACGGGAGAAAACAGTCCTAACGACAGTTGAACGGTGTCGTCGAATGGACAGAAACGAGCCCTGTTTCAAACTGCAGAATGAAGGGGTAAAGAAGACCAGATTAAAGAGACCATCCTTCATATACACGGTCCGCCGCCTTTAGGAAGGCGTGGCCTTACCCAGAAAAAGAGAGAAAGTGAAGGTCATCCCGGCAAGGGGACCCACGAGAGCCTATCCCGGCCTGATATACGTCTTACTTTGACCAACACCAAAGACAACCAGAGCCTCACGTAGAACTATCAGAGGCAGTGCTTGCGACGATAAACGCCTACCCGGATAGCCAGGTGAAAGTCTCCACAGACGACTCATGCGAGGGAAAGTCCAGTGGCTACGATGCCCTCATCCAGTATCCCGCGGAGATAGCATCATCCGAGGAGCTATGCGGCCCAAGCGGGGGAAATAGAACAAGCCTAGATGCGGAGATCGAGGCAGTAAGAAGGTCCACCAGTGCCTGGCAAAAAGAAAAAGCTTCCCAGACGTCGTGGTTTTCACCAACTCACCATCAGCTCTAGAACACGTCGGAAGGTGCACGAAGGAAACCACAATGATAGGCGCCATTCTGGAGACAGTAGGCAGCATACATGCAAAGGGCGGCAGATTAGTTCTGAAGTATATCACTTCGCACTTTGAGGTGGCACAGCCGGACAGGGCGGACTTCCTAGCCAAAGAAGGCGCGTCCCACCCCAGCCAAATAAACTGATGACCCATTTGGGGGGCACGACTTGCTTGAAAGAACACTTTCGGAACAAGTGGTTCGACAGGTGGGATGCAGGAGAAACCGGACGACAGCTGCACCGAAGAAGACCGCGACCGAGCAAGACCGACCCATGGTGTAGAGGAGACCAGAGCCTCATCACCTAGATGAGGACTGAACACTGCGCGCGACACTCAGCTACCTCCACCGACTAGATGATCGACAGCCGATTCTGTGGTGAGGCAGAAGAAACAGTGGCTCAACTTGGTCATCACGTGTCCTAGTGGAGGGACGGATGCAAACGGGTGAGACCCGGAGGCCTGCCTTGAAGATATGATTTACGGGGATGCCCATCAGATGAGGCTCGCTGTCAGGGCTAAAGAGACTTAGTCTCAGCCCAACAGAGTATTATAAGTGTAATTCTAGCTTTATTTTGTTTGTATAGGTTTGGACGGTGATTATATTATAGCCGTTGTAAAAAGACTAAAATTTTTATTTATCGCATTTTATGAGATAAACATGTCCAATGTGCGGTTTTGAGAAAACTCGCTTCGAAATTGGTTCGATATTTTTTTATATCTTTCACAACATGCAAAGTACTGATGAACACACCCGTAAATATACTGATGCCATTGCAAAACTAGAAGAAGAATTTGTTCACGTTTGCAGACATCAAAAAACAGATCAACTTTTCTTATTTTTGCTGACACTTTCTCCTTCAATTTGGAAGATGCCCCAACCCCCCAATCCCCTACGTGCCCCCCCCCCTTCCTTTTTTGCGCTTCATATCGCTGCTGAGTGGCCGAGTGGTCTTAACTGAGCTAATCTCAAATTTGGAACTGATCAAATCTCAAGTTGGTGTTCTGGTGTTCAATTCCAGTCAGTCAAGCAAAAACATCAGCAGCACCAAGGGAGGACGGGACCCGTTAACCCTCGATGACAGCGCATGACAGTTCAAATCAAACCGGATATGTAATCCCGAAGTACAATGAAACATTCCGATAACTCCTGCGACGTCACTTGTAAATGTTAAGGAATCTTAGCAATCGGACGATACTGATTGAAATCCTTATGGATTTTGACCTCCGAAACCCACACCATCGTCACATTATGACGGACATTATTAAAAAAATATGGAGCTCATCAAGGTGAATGGAAAACCGAAAACCTTTCTCGAGATTTCCAGTTGTTCGTGTACTGTGTGAAAAGCTTTCTTCCTCTACGTTTTAACAAGTCAAATGTCAAGGTCAAGCTATACTGAGGGCCTATACTTCCTCATTTAAGATAAATGTTGCTCAGCTGTGTAGAAAGAAGTGCTATCAGGTCACTTCAAACAAGGAGAAGGAAGAAAGTAAAGCCTAGTTCTGAAACCTTAATGGTTTTATTTGTTATTAATCAAGGATGATCAGATTGTAACAGTAGTACTTTATTGAATTTGTAATCGCTTTTTCGTCGAATGCGCACCCCGATAATTTGAATTTGACACCCCGTCACATCTATGATTGAACATAGGACACTTAATCGCCTTTATAGGAAATTACTTATAGAATTTTATGATGATTTCGTCGAGAAGAAGCCTCGAATGTATTCTTAGCTAAGAAATTTAGCGAAAAGAAATAAATTGAAATACTATCGATTGCACAAAAAATCCGTCTGTGGGCTTCATTTTTATCTGCCTTCGTATTGACCAGTGATGAAATACAGTTGTGGACATATGTGCAGGTGATTTTGTTGGGACAATTCCATTGAAAAATTAGTAACGCGTTTGAAAATCTTTATATCATTCTCTTACCACCTCCTAAATTTTTAACTTTGTCACTCTCTATATTTTTCTCCTAGGGAAGTCGTTAACAAATTGTTTGCACGAAATGTCTTTTGATATTTTTTGTGTAAAAGGAAGTGGGGCAACCCAGGTCAAAATTTAAAACTGTTATAATCGGTGGAGAAGTAGAAGTAGGTAAAAAATGATTGCAAGCTATGGACAATATATGCAAACCATCTTTATATTTCTCAAAATATCTTTTTAATGTCAATTTATCGGTTTAGAAGTAAGGAATCCTTCATAAATGTTTCCTATATGTTTAGTTCCATCCATTTGCGTAAAGCCATTTGGCTCTGGCGATGACGTCGTTACTGTAATCACCTTGTGTTGTGCCTACATCAATACCACCCCATGTTTGCACATTTCCAACACCAAAGTTATACGCGGCCACACCACCTGTAATAGAATATAATTTTTAAATTTTACCTTGTGGTGTCAAAGAATAATCATGTCAGATCGTATAATTGCATTTAATTTGATAGAGTAAAACGTCTACCTTGTAGGGCTTGTGAGGCAGACCATGTAGTATGTCTACCGAGGACCTGAAAAGTGATGAAATAAAGAACTTAATAAACTTTGTTCATGATCAATTGGTTAGAAAATGTGTTTAATTAAGTTTTAAAGATTCATACGTAAATTTTTCAAAGGTTTGTGTCAACAGCATTTCACGGTTGCAGCTTTCCAGCGTTCTCCATTACCATTGAACGTGTGTTACTTTCAAATATAAGCAACTTCATAGATTAATTTCGGTGTACTAAACGCTTCCAGGTGTAATGGATTCTATTGCATTATTTCATCATCAAACCAAATTAGTAACAATATAATATATAATATAGGATATGCATTATAAGTTTCAACTTCCATCCCCAATTTTTTTTTTTTACGTTTGATTAATCTCACCAATTCAATGTCCGGTATCAATTTTCTGCTGATCATCATCTCGATATGAGCACAACTGTTCCATGCAACTGTAGTGCAGGGGAGACCAGAGTGAGTAAGGTCACACTACACATCGAAAGTGAATAAAAAAATTTCTCAATTTATTAGAATAATAAAGCTCAAAGTGTGTCCTATAATTTTTGTAAATTGTTTGGAATTCTTACAGTTTTCATAAAAGGGAGTTTAAATTTATGTGAGAAAAAATTAATTGGATAATCATTTCTCAAAAAGGACAATGGTGTAAAACGTTCCTAATTCTTTATATATCTCACCTGCTTGATACTTAGATATAGCTTACCTGCAGGATACCCCATGCTTTGCCATTATCACCATAACCATTGGTAAGAGCAGTTCCACCGTTAGACTCTCTGCTTGCTAGGGCGGCAATTACAGATGCTTGAATGCCTGAAAAAATGACGGCGTCGTTTTAAAAAGTAGAAGCTAGGAAATAATTGGGGGAAATGGAGATTTCTGGAAACTTAAATTTAATGTTTTGTCAAAATTTTTAACTTGATTTTTTATTGAGATCCACATTTAATGAGCAAATATTTCTTCACTAAGTAAATGAAAAACAAAAACTAAAAAATGTCTTATAGCCCTTAGAATATAATCAAAACTACATTTCCATCCATCCGAACCATTCAACTCTTACAATGTTTGTCAGCTACTGACTGGTAACAGTCTCTATGTCCTAGCAGAGCTGGTAGATCATGTTGAACGAGAGCGTTAGAAGCTGCTACACCTTTGTAAAATAAACAAATGTTAATTTTGACAAGATAATAAAGAACATGACTTGATGGAAAAGTGATGATTTGAAAAAAAGGGCTTGCCCACGCACATAATTATGTTTTTGTTTTTTAAGGGGGGGGGGGGGGGTGGGAAACATAACTTTTTTTAATGAAATATTTATCTGTACAATTAATTCTACTAAAATCTATAGGCAGCGTCTGAACTAAAGAGCTCCTCCACAGAAGAATCACCTAGATTTTGTTTATTTAGCGAACAGCAAGTGGCTTAGTGCCTATGTAGTCATTCCATCGGGGTAAATACTATTTAGTTTACAGACACAATAGAAATAAGCTGAACAGCATGTGTTCTTCTTGCATTCTTACCTCCAGCTAGTCTCCCAGTTGGGTGGAGTTGCGTGATGTCCCCATGACATGTTCTTGGGGCTGTAAAAAGAGGTCACAAATATCCATTTTTGATGCGGATGTCGATGAATATACAATAATCAAATCTTGTGCTCGATATAAACAAGGCATTTTCAAACTTTTAAATATGATCGATATACATTTTGATTTGATAATGTGATTTATAACAAAGTATTAATTTACAATCTCTTTGGTGCAAATGATTCACTATTTGACAATCCCTTTGGTTAAATATCTCATTCATTTTAACCTTTTTTTAAAAAAAATCTTCTTGAATGCCGAGGGCATTAACATTTTGATTTTATAAATTAAATTAAAACTTAATTATAAATAAAAAAAAAGGTGTTTTGGATGGGCTAGGTGACCCCTGGGAAAGGTTTGTTTGATTTCCAAAAGGGGTCGCGACCCACAGGTTTAGACCTAAAATGTAGACCTAAAACGTAAGTTGTTCTGGAAACTTGTTTAAATTATTGTTTTACTACTTGTTTTAACTTATTGTAGTTACCAGCATTAGCGAAAGCCAAAACAGCCGCTAGTACGAAAATAAGCATGGCTTGTGCTGTTCTAGGGAACTTTGAGAAGAAATATCCACCTAACAAATGTTCGTAACTTTTATAGTTGAACAAATTTAGGAATCTTCTAAGGAAATATTTTTAACGTAACAAAAATGAAAAGAAATAATTATTAAAATTACTTTTCCTTATCAAACCCGAAAAGGGGGGGGGGGAGTTAATTGGCTCAAATAGATAATTTATCTTTTATCAGTGTGAGATTGGCCATCAGGTTTAATTTTCATAATAAATTTAAGTACTGTCATACTTGATAGTAAATATATATCTAATTATCCATCAAATTAACATTAGGCTTAGCAAATTTACATTAGGTTTACAGGCTATGCAGTTCCGAATGTGCAATACCCATAACTGAAAATAAAAGAGAAATCATCTGGGGTAACATAATGAATGGAATAAAATGAACTGTGAGAACATCAGATCCTGTAAAAAAAAGTTCAAAGGATAGAAAGTAGAATTGCCGTTTAGCACACTATTTGAGTTTTTATTTGTGTTTTTTTTTTTGTAAAGAGTTCTGCGAGGTAAAAATATGCCCTTTCTTAGAGGGGGGCGGGGGAATGCTTTTTTATGGGATTCTTGTCAAGTTTTCAGCACCATCCGCAACTCTTTGTCGAAAAATCCGTCGTTTTCTTTTTCTTCTGTGATGTGATCATTTTTACCCTATTCAGTAAGTTGTATTTTGAATTACTTCAAAACTTAATACAGTCCTCACCATATCACACTCAAGAAATTCCATAAGAATTAGAACCTTTTTAAATCATTCTATAAATTGGTATAAATTTGTATGTGAATTCTTTTTATTGGACAGTTCGTTTGGTCTATAAGTAAGGGATTTAGTTTGATGTAACTTTAGTATTTATGCAGCTTAACTGCAACGGATCAAACTGAAAAGGGCTGAAACCTGAACTTTGATTGCAAAGATTTAAATATTGCATTGTTCTATTTTTACCGGTCAACCTCAAAGATGTCTACAGAGGGATAAACACCTACCATGTTGCTTATCCCTTTTGGGATATCTTGGAGTACGCTATGTTATACGAAACTGCTGAGGAGTTTCTGGGACTGGTTTGACGAAAACTTTAAAAAAAAAAAAAAAAAAATTCTAGATGATAACCACTTCATTTCTATTACTTTAAGAATTAAGTAAGAAAGAAGAACGATGTTGTATAAATTGTTCAGCGTTAAACACCTACCATGTTGCTTATCCCTTTTGGGATATCTTGGAGTACGCTATGTTATACGAAACTGCTGAGGAGTTTCTGGGACGGGTTTGACGAAAACTTTAAAAAAAAAAAAAAAAAAATTCTAGATGATAACCACTTCATTTCTATTACTTTAAGAATTAAGTAAGAAAGAAGAACGATGTTGTATAAATTGTTCAGCGAGTAGTGCTGTATTTTCGGTCAAGGTCATTCATCGATAAAGCAATCGTCTTCTTTAGTGCCTATCTAGAAAAAGAAGACATCCCAATACACTCCATTGAGCGTTCAAGTCTTTTGCAATAATAGTCGTTACTAAGACTTCGCTAAGATATAACCTGTGATCCCCTTTTCAAAGTCGTTTCACACTGCTCTACCATAGAGCAGAGATACATCGACTTAACATTTTTAGAATATACCTTTTCTGGATAAATGTAGTGTTCTTCATTGAAAACAATATAGGCAACTAGTAAAATTTATTTTCATCTGTTTTTTTTTTTTTTTGCCAAAGCAAAAGTGCATTTGCAATCGCATCTTTTCAGACTAGTCGAGGCAGGGTGCAATTGATACTTTTGCAGTTAAAAAGTTAACTCTTTCAAAATGTTACCTATTTTCTGCTTTTACTTTCCTCACTAACAAGTGATTTTCATCGACTTAACATTTTTAGAATATACCTTTTCTGGATAAATGTAGTGTTCTTCATTGAAAACAATATAGGCAACTAGTAAAATTTATTTTCATCTGTTTTTTTTTTTTTTTTGCCAAAGCAAAAGTGCATTTGCAATCGCATCTTTTCAGACTAGTCGAGGCAGGTTGCAATTGATACTTGTGCAGTGAAAAAGTTAACTCTTTCAAAATGTCACCTATTTTCTGCTTTTACTTTCATCACTAACAAGTGATTTGAACAGCGGTCTTCCTTTGTTATTGAAAAAGCATTTATTGCTTATTCCAAAGCTCAAAAACAATTTTTGTAATTTTTTCCTATCGACAACTCACTTTAGTATTAAAAAAGCAGTTATTTTCCAACTCGTCGCAACGTTGCAAAAACTGTTTAAACTGAACGCTTTTCATACTTCTTGTAACCCTAATGGCAGCGTCTTCGTTGCTAATATTCGCAATGTGTTCCGATGAAATTTGTTTAAATCGTTTAAATCCCGATTGACATCCTTGATTTATTGGAACACCATCTGTATAAAATACATCACTTGCAGTAGTTATCGTTTCAAGAAAAGCAAAAAAAAACAACAAAAAAAAACCATCAATAAAGGTTAATCAATCTCATAAACCAGTGCTGAACATTTTATATCCTCTTTTGATTCATCAACTGGACAGTCGGGTACATTTAATATCTTGGATAACGTGATCAAGAATATTAAAATATATCTGCGGACTGTGTCGTTAAGAAATTTCATAACATAACGCGAACAAAGTCTTTAAGAGCACTAGTACTGTATTAGAACACTTCACCGCCTTTTCGGTTGGATGTACCAACGCTCAATGAATCTCTTGACAGAAGAAAAAAGCCTAGTCACCAATACACATGGCTAGTAAATTGAAAAGAAGAGGAACTCGAATCCAATCCTCCCCTTAATCGGTGACGGGGCTCAGGCCGACTGTTGCCATTGGTGCTACTGGGAGCTTTAGGCAACGTGCCGCTTGTCACTGCCCTAAAACCTCAGTTATTATGCAGCTTAACTGCAACGGCATCAGAGGGAAAATCCACGAACTCAGCAAACTACTCTTCAGCCGGGAAGTGGATTTGCTCAACTGAAGGATTCCCTACTGAAAAAGCACGTCACAGAAACAAAGGTGGGAAGGATACTCTGACCCTATATCATAACAAGTCTTTTTTTCATTAACATTATTTATAGAATAATAACAGAAGATTTAAATGGCCATTTGGGGGATATTGTCCATCTCAATAAAAACGCCCCAGATTGCTGTCAACAGTGCCACGTTGTACCCCGATGTAACACTGGTCTCAGCCGTAATTGAGGCAAATATCCAGTGCAAAGAATTGGATGAGGTTTGGCAGTGACCACCGACTGATTCATCACAATGGATCTTGTAAAGAGGACTCTGTGGAAAAAATAGAGAACACCATCACGGGATTCCCGATACTTCTGAAAGTATGATACTGCATAGAGCACTTTCTTTAGTTTCCTCAGTTGAAAAAAAACTATCCCTAGAACAAGTTTCACCCCTTTTGGAACAAGAGGCTTGCAGAGATGGTTCGTGAAAAACTCTTTTCAAAACTAAAAACTCTGTAGCTTCTGTTGCTGTTATAGAACAAGGACAAGGTTTAAAGGGTCATTTACAGTCAAGATGAAAAGAATACCATATTTTGAGAACAATATTTTCAGAATACATGACCGCAGTTCGAAGCTCATTTTTACTGATAAAAGGAAATTGCCTCTTGGTTGACATCTTTGACATCTGGAATAAGTTAAATTTATCAATGCAAGGATTTGTCAAAAAAGATGCGATCATTTAATTTTTAATAGGCCAAAAAAAAAAGTGGATGAAAATAAAATGTACATGTTTTCTATCTTATCTTTATGACATTGAACCATACAAAGGGATTACAGTGAGGAGTATAAAGAAAATTTTTGATCGTACTTTCCAAATCTACCTAACACTGCATATGCACTTGCAAGATGTCAATTCACAGTCAAAAAAGATGTTCCAGAGTTAAAAAAAAGAAGAGTTCATTGATAGCGATGCAGTAAAAACTAATTTTTCCACAATGCCAATACAAAATTCTTAATCGAGTTTTCTGTCTGAGACTGATTTCCTCTTTCTTTCCAACAATATTACGTTCATCAGTTGGGGGTTCGGAAGCAAACATCGCTTATAGCTGTCAACGTTAGATGTGTTTTTAGTTTTTTAGGACAATGCGTGCTTATCTCTATCCTGTCAAAGCTTTTCTTGGTTAATGGGTCTTAAATCTAAAAGAGGCCGTGTGTATATTTAGACTTTTTCTTTTACGCTGAATTCACAAACTTCAGATTTTGCTTAGGATTTAACCTAGGATCTTCTTAGCATAGTTGAAAACATCGTTAATCATCCTTTTATCAATTATTAATTGCTAATGTTTAGAAAGACAAGCAATCTCATTTCATTTAAACTGAAGAAATAGGCTAACTTACAAACATCTTTCAATTACCTTTCATTTGATACCAAAAAATGATATTTTAAAAAAATGACAGTAAAAAAAAAATTTCAAGTGTCAATGTGCGAAGACTTTTAAAAATATAAAGTTTATTTAATATGTGTCTGTGTACTACTGATGGCTGGTCAGAATTTTTGCACACATTTTTAGTGCAAGAGAAGTCCAATTTTGGCCTCTCTTCGCCTGTAGCTTCTGTTGCAGTTATGGCACAAGAAAAAGGTACATTCGCAACTTGAATTCACTGCTTGAACGGATTTGAAAAATCTGTAACATCTTTTTTTGCATCACAAATCTTGATGAAAAAGAATGTTTAACAGAACAGGCAATGCCCTCTTGAGCGTAAGAAATGATTCAACTGATGCAAGTAGCTCCAAGGAGATAGAGTGAGCTTATGGCGATTATTGCTCACACCGACAATATTTAAAGTGCTGAATGGTTAGATGAGGATGATGTTGACTTGTCTTGTACATCAGTGCCGGAAGATGAAAATGATTAATCAACTTACTATAGAATATGCCCATCCGGTGTGTCATTTCATGTTTTTTCAGGGGGGGGGGGCACAAACAAAAAATTGGTCTGCTTGCTATTATTGGGGGCGCCACAATACATAGCAATTTGAATCAAACCTGCCAATTAGGGGGTAGGGCCTAATACCCACATGATGTCCCTGATGCCCGTTAATAGGATAGAGCAGACCTATTAATTCTTAGGAAGATGGCAGTTAGAAACTATTTTATAAAATACTAAAATTTAAGTGCAAAACCATATTAACTTGTTGATTAACAAGCTACAATTTTATTGTCACTAAAATAGATCCAAAGAAAGTAAAATTGATTTATAAATGTATTTATAATATAATTACTTTTTTGGGGGAGGTGTGTGGGGGCTGGTTTAGAAAATGTTGACATAATTAAATAGGGCGTTTTAAAAGTTTGACGTAGGGGGGGGGGGCAAAAATTACTTAACAATTTTTGACATGATAAATTAACGACCCCTCGCTAAAAAGACCTTTTTTAACCCCACCCCACTCCTTCCACATGACATTGCTCAATATTACATTTTATAAAGGATTTAGACGAAAAACGTTGTTTTTAGAGGTTAAATAAGGGGGGGGGTGTATGGTGCAAGTTCATGTATTGACAAATCGTGTTATGTTAAATGTTCTAGTCAGTCTTTCAATGGTCTCGTATGTTTACTTTAATAGATAAGAAACAACTGTGAGAAGTGCTATTATCTTAGTCTAATGGCAGTTTAGATTAACATAAATTCTACATTGAAAATCTATCAATGTGCAACATTGACAAGTTATTATATATTATTTATATTTAAGATTAGAGATGTAAATACTGAAACTGGTTAATTTATATTTTGAGGAAATCGGAAAGTGACGAAAATGGACTGACAATGAATTAGGGGCCATCCATATAGTACATTCGCAAAAAAGTCAAATTTTCGGCACTCCCAACCCCACCGCAAAATGAGCTTTTAACCCCCGACCCCCCAAAAAAATTTAAATCAATAAAAAAATAATCATGACGTCACTGTAAAAATTTCATAGGTTTTCACCACTGTCTGTTGACGAGCACAGTAGAATCTCCCTAGCGTTAAGCTCCTTTTTCCCCCCATCATTGCGTACGTACTATATGACTGGCTTTAACGAGCAACATGTTGATCAGTGCAAAGTTCAACCCGAAACTTTTTATGCTCAGCACCTTCCAAAAAAGTTCAAGTAACACTATTTCTGATTATCTTTTTTTTCTTCTGTTCTTCTGTTTATATTTTATTTACATTATGTTCTGTAACTGATAAAACTTTTAAAATGAGGAACAAAAAGAAAAGTGTGGAGGGAGAGGCTAGATGTTCATACAAAAGTGAATTTGTCCGAATTTGATGAGACTATTCATCGTATGGGAAATCAACAAACCAATAAAAATGTATATACAATTTATTCGATGTCATTTAAAATGGCTGAGTTTAATGTTAAATTTTTATTTGAAAAATGATTGAAATTGGCCCAGTTAAATATATCTGATTTGAACTGAAGGTGTTTAATGCTTCTGGAATTATCTTAGGAGATAAAGGTCATTCTAGAAATTTCTTAGGAGATAAAGGTCATTTAAAATGTGTAACTTTATTATTATTGTTTTATTTTATTATCTTCCTGTTTTTTCATTTCTCTTGAGCTGACTTTAGAATATAAATGGCAAACTGTGTCTGACATGTTCACTTTTGTCTGCAGACTTCCATTACACAGATCACAATGTTCATTCTTGTATTGTGTGCTCTCGTAGCTTTTGCCAACGCAGGTAACATGAGAAGAGATGGACCATTTGGGTTAAAAATAATAATGACTTGTTTGTCAATAAGAACAGATCTCTAAAGAATAAACAGAAAAATACCATGACTAAAAGTTCTATACTTTAACTATCGACTTTTTTTAGGGTCCTGCTTCAATTATTGAAGTTTATTTTATACTAATAGTTAGTAGGCTCTTGGCTCTTCTACGTAATTCATTGCTTTCATTTAGTAAGGGACCAACATTCTCATTAGGGTTTGTTGTATTAAAGACAGTTCATCGATGAATGTTTGATCTTCACAGCTCCAAGGACCTGTCATGGTGACGTCACAAAACTAAGTCCCAAAGGGAGAGCATCCGGAGGTTAGTCACGTGGCTTAGATTAGTTATGCCTTGCTCATTATGAAGGCCTATTAAGGCATATTATTGTTTTCAAAACAATGAAAAGAAACATGTTATATTCGTTACGGGCTTTAAAATTTGACTTGTTACTGTAATATTTATTCATTTAGTTATTAGTTACTTTGAGAGAATCCCATATTTATTATTGTTTGATATTCATCTTGAACAGACATTTTAAAAGCAACAGTTGAGGTGTTTGACCATTTCCGATGTTAAACGCGAAAAGATATATATTTTTGTAAACTTGAATCATATTAAATCAGGTGTGGCAGCATCCAACACTGCGGTACAACATGATCTCCCAGCTCTAGTGTCCCACAAGAACTGCTACGATGCATCTGCCGATAGAAACTGTGAGTTGCGAAATGTTAAAATGCGAATGTTGAAGTATTTCGGATCAAAGATTTAAATCACAATAATTTTGAGAATATAACTTTTTAAAATATATGTAACAACAGTTAGTCATTTCTAAATAAAAATATAAAGAGAGTTTTTCGTCAATGCATGTTTCGTCAAGTTTTTTTAATCATTAAAAATAAAAATTTTGAGTGACGAACTGAAAATATAAACATAAACAACAAAAACAGATTTAAAGCTATAAAGAATTTAAACGTGAATGTTTGAATTGTTTTGGCAGGTATCCAAGCTTCATTGATCGCCGCCCTTGCCAGCAGAGAGTCCAACGGTGGAAGCGCCCTTGTCAATGGTTATGGCGATAACGGCAAAGCTTGGGGTATCCTGCAGGTAAACATAGGCTAATCTTACAGACAATTAAGGAAAGCCGATCGGTATGCTTTTTGCCGCCCCCTTCCACTAATGAAAAAAAAAAAGAAAAAAAGGGTTGCATTCAACTGCAAATGCAACCGCTAAATAAAAAAAACGAAAAAAAAAAGGTTCCGTTAAGGGTCCTTCGCCAATGTATTTGTTTGAAATACACGGCAATTTAATAGAGCTATTATCATGAGATAATTCAACAACAATGCCGGAATGCAATTTTATGAAGTAACGCTCGTTATAGATTTATTTGGAAACTCAACCAAAAATTATTATTATTTTTTTAACCTGAAAAGTCTTTCTTCTACAAAAGTAAGATGCAGTTTGAAAAACGTTACCTCAATTTATTGTTTCGATGCAATACCTGATCATTCGTTCCCATTCGATGTTTAGTGTGACATTGCCCACTCTGGTCTCCCATGTACTACCGTCGGCTGGAACAGCTGTGCTCACATTGAAATGATGGTCAGCAGACTTTTGGTGCCATACATTCAACAGGTAAGTGCTAGGAATTAGAAAAAATGAAATGAATCAACCTGAAAATGAAATAAATCAAATATAGATGGATAACAACTTATAATAAATCAGTGTTGGTCATTTTTAAATGTTTCAATAACACTGTTCTTTAAAAATTAGAGATCACATCTTTTTTTTCATGACTATAACAATCATAATATTTAAGCGCCAGTAGCAGTTTAACAACATCAAGTTGGTGCTTACTTTAATTTGTGTTACTTTTGTTCGCTGTATGCCGATACATTCATTGATTTGATGAGTTGTATACACCTTCACACATTTCACACATTTCTTAAACTAGACAAAAAGAAAATAAGTCGTACTTTGCTTAAGCAGACAAAATTAGCGCTACTGAGTAGAAACAGAAATAATATAAAGCATTTAGGGAACTTGAAAATGCTTGTCAAAGTTGGTCTTGATGAAACGAAGACAAAATATATGATAATGTCACGAAACATCCACGATGATGACAACATAAATATAAAAAACAACAAGTTTCTAGGGGCGACTATTAACAAGTCCAGTTAAAGTCGGAGGTGAAAGAAAGGATAGCAGCAGGCCACCGTTCCTATTTCAGCCTACAAAACCTACTGGTAGGCAAAAACCTCTCAAGAGGAACAAAGTAATCTTTGTTACACACCTCTAGCATAAGAAAGTATTGACTTACGCTAGTGAGACTTGGACCAGAAAACCCATGAAAACCCTGAAAATATCACCGCGCAATTCTGAAAAACCAAATCACCACCAAATAACACCTCGAAACCCGGAAATTCCAACCTTGAGATGCTACAAGGAGTTAGAACAATGAACACATACTATTTCCACTACTTAATATTGTGGGGTTCGATTGTACAACTATCATTACGTCTAATAAATACAGAAGCTTTATAAAATACAGGTATTAAATTGGAGGCCACCATCTTTATGGTATTGTCTTATCTACAGGTCTATGCAAAGCATCCAACATGGTCTCTTGATCAAGCTCTACAAGGTATATTTTGGAAAAGTGATATTAATTGAAGGAACTATAAAAGGGCTTGATTCTTTGCCTTTTTTTTTTTTGTGTCCCGTTCATTACCACATTATTCCACCTTTGGTCCTTTGGTACTAAAATTCATATTGCTCATCTCATAATCACAAAATAGTGTTTTCTTAAAGAGATTTTTGTTATCTTTATGAATAAAAGTGAAATTTACATTTCATTAGTTAACTATAAAGAATATTAAAAATGAAATATATTTTGAATAATTGAAGTGTGAACAATTCTCGTCATCAATCAGGTGGTGTTGCTGCGTACAACTTTGGCGTCGGAAATGTCCAGACATGGGGTGGTGTTGATGTTGGCACAACTCAGGGAGACTACAGTAATGATGTCATCGCCAGAGCCCAATATCTCCACTCTCACGGATGGAACTAAATGTCCGATGATCTTCAATTTACTTCATGCAAAGCAAAAAATACTGTTTTTTTCGACTCTATGTTTACACTGCCTACATACTAAATGAGATGGAATTGATGCAATTCAATGAAAATAAGTAAGAGAAGGGATTATGGCTAAATGAAATAATTTGCAAATAAAAATGAATAGAACCTTCTTTTTCTGTTGGCCTTAATTTTTGGTTACATTATATGTGAGCCTCTAAAAGCCTGTCAAAATGAGGGGTAAGTAAATATTTGTACAGGACGTACGAATCATAATGTCCAGGTGCTAGCTTCAATGACAATGATGCATTATTGAGAAGATGTAATTTTGTTTAATTAAACACCACTATTGATTTGCCTACTTAGGCAATATGTGTACTAAGTTTGGTCCAGATTGATCTTTTTATGTAGGAGTATTTAGGCTGTTGATATTTCTATAGCTCATCAGGAAAAAAGAATTCAGAGCACCCGCCAGAAATGAAATTTTATAAAAAGTTCATAAATTCATAAAAAGTTCATAAACCACCAAATTTCGGCAAACAAAGAAAGCAATAAAATTTCAATTTTATAATATATATATATAAATATTCATAGATGATATCTGCAGACTAAAAGCTTTATTCTTTACAAAGTTACAGATATGTTTGGGGCTGATCAAGAGCCTTTAAACAGCAAGTGAAAAAGACTTATTGATATTTACCTCCTTCTTTGATGAAGGCAGAAGATTATATTTTTAGAAGAAATAAGAAGGCTTATAAGACATCTAAGGGGGACTGATATTTAATTTTACAAAGGAATAGTCAGTTTTTAATGTTTCAAATTCTGAATGGAAATCTTAAAATCTCTTCAAATGCTTTTTCTAAGCCTTCAATTATTTCTTATGATCTGTGTGTCTGTGGCTTCCAGTTAAAGAAGCTTTTAATAACGATCCACCACACCATTGACTGTAAAGGCTTTGTGATCGGACTCAATCAAAAATCAATTAAAAATTACACGGTGAACGATGTTGATTTTGATCGACAGATTTGCAGCTGAAGAGAAACAAACCCTCCGGTAACGCGATCCCATCGAGTCGGAGAAGGGGTCCCATTGGAAAACGGGATTCCACTGGGATCAAGACCCCACCGGTAAACGGGATCACACCGGTATTATGATAAAACTAGAATCGGGGGCTGGCACCTACGCACTTCATGTAATTTTTCCATTCTAAAAGTTTGTGTATAAAAAATTATCAACAATCATCAAGTATCAATCATCTCCAAAGATTTTTTCTTTATCTGGCTGTTTTACTTCCATGTAGAACTGTAAAACTTCCCATTATTTATTAATTAAAATTTAATCTAGTTTTAATTATTTGTACAATTTTAACATGTTCTTCAAAATTATTTTTGAAAATAGTTGGAGAAACAGGTGCGCTTTGCGCTCTCGTGTTTTGGCATTCATTTCTTTAAAAATTAGCAAGATAAAGATAAAGCAAGTCATGATTGCAACAATTACAAGTTTCATGACACACATATTTCAAGCCTTCTATGAGATTTTGAGGACAATGACAAGAGAGTTATAAGAATCCCTGAACGTGAGATACCGGAGCAGGGGTTTCAAACTCGCAGCCCATGGGCCATTTTGTGCCCTCACAAGATGATAGTTTGTTGCCTGATACCTGACAGCAAATTTTTTTGTTAATGCGGCCCGCACGTTTTTCCCATTTTCATATCTATAATGTGACCGCGAAAGGTTCAGAAGAATACCGCCGACTAGTGTAATTCTGGCTTTTTTTGTTTGTATAGTTTTTGGACGGTGATCATAACCGTTGTAAAAAGACTGGAATATAATTTTTATTTATCGCATTTTATTTGCCATTTTGAGAAAACTCGCTTCGAAATTTGTTCGATATCTTTTGATATTTTTCACAACATGCAAAGTACTGATGAACTCAGGTACACCCTTCAGTTGTAAATAAACTGATGGCATTGCAAAGCTAGAGGAAGAATTTGTTCACATGTTTGCAGATATCAAAACACAGAGCAACTTTTAACAAATTTGCTGACACTTTCTCCTTCAATTTGGAAGATGCCCTAACTCCCCCCCCCCCCCCCCCCCCCTTTGCGCTTCACTTGGAGCTGATCGGTGCTGGGTGGCCGAGTGGTCTAATAAGTTGGAACTGAGCAAATCTCAAGTTGGTGGTCAGGTGTTCTCCAGTAGATGGGACCCGTTAGCTTTCGTTGGCAGCTCATCTAAGAAAGGCGGGTAACATTTGTACAATGAAACATTCCGATAACTCCTACGAAGTCACTTGTAAATGTTAAGGTATCGTAGCAATCGGACGATACTGTTGATTTTGTTGTTGATTTTGACCTCCAAAGCCCACACCATCGTCACATTGTGACGGATAAAAAAAAAAAAATTGCGCAAGTTCATCAAGATAAAAGAAAAACCGACAGGAATAGACAATTTTTGAGAGCATTGCATTTTTGAGAGCCCTCAACCTTTCTTGAGATTTCCAGTTGTTCGTGTGTCTTTTTAATAGTACTGTGTGAAAAACTCCCTTTACGTTTTAACAAGTCATAGGTCAAGGTAAGGTCATACTGAGGGTCTATACTTCCTCGTTCAAGATAAATGTTGCTCAGCTGTGTAGGAAGAAGTGCTACCATGTCTCTGGCAACAAGAAGAAGAAGGAAGAAAGTAAAGCCTAGTGCTGAAACCTTAATGCAGTGGTTTACAACCTTTCTAGTTCCGCGAACCCTTAATACAGTTTCTCGTGTCATGGCGACCCCCCAGCAACACAATTATTTTCGTTACTACTTCATAGCTGTAAGGATATATGTTTTCAGATTGTCTTAGGCGACCCCTCAACCCACAGGTTGAGAACCGCTGCCTTAATGGTTTTATTTGTTTTTAATAAAGCTTGATCAGATTGTAACAGTAGTACTTTATTGAATTTGTAATCGCTTTTTCGTTGAATAGTTGATGCGGCCCCCCGATTTATTTGAATTTGACACCCCGTCACATCTACGATTGATTTTACACTTCTTTACGGTCCAGCTTAGGCCATCCTTGCATTTACTTGTGATATTTACCTGTCTGAAACCTGGAAGGTGATTCCTTTGACCAAATTGAGTTTGTGGCGCATTACATATCATTGGCGTGTGTGCTGACAAACGTTCCGGCTATGGTTGCCACACTTGTTTTCAAGGTTTTCAAACTTCACAGGCGACAATTACCAAACATAAGTCAATTAAACGCCTTTATAGGAAATTACTTATAGAACTTTTATAATGATTTCGTCGAGGAGAAGCCTCGAATGTATTCATAGCTAAAAATTTAGCGACAAGAAATAAATAGAAATTCTATCGATGCCACAAAAAATCCGTTTGTACGCTTAATTTTTCATCTGCCTTCTTAGGGCTATTTCATTCAACAGTTTATTGACTAGTGATGAAATACAGTGGTGGACATATTATGTGCAAGTGATTTTGATGGGACAATTCCATTTGAAAATCATTACCTTACCACCTCTCAAATATAATTTAACTTTGTCACTCTCTATATTTTTCTACTGGTAAGTCGTTAACAAATTGTTTGCACGAAATGTATTTTGATATTTTTTGTGTAAAAGGAAGTGGGGCGACCCAGGTCAAAATTTAAAATTGCTATAATCGGTGTAGAAGTAGAGGTAGGTAAAAAATTATTACAAAGTGTGATTAGACAATATATGCAATCCATCTTTATATTTCTGAAAATATCGTCAATTTAATTAGAAGTAAGGAGTCCTGAATAAATGGCTCCTATATGTTTAGTTCCATCCGTTTGCATAAAGCCATTTGGCTCTGGCGATGACGTCGTTACTGTAATCACCTTGCGCTGGGCATTACCTGTGAAAGAGTGGTACGCTTCCTAATTCAAAAATTTTGAGTGGAGGCTCGCCACCGCACCAGTAGTCTGACCCGTAGCTTCCCTCTCCCTTATGATGGTCGATTCCCACGAACCATTTTGAAAATTTTGATGCGATAGCCCTTGAGGTTTTGCGATGGCAATTGGGGTTTTGTGTCAGCTGCGACGGATCAAATGGAAAATCGATGAGTAATAAAAGTACGCAACAGCCGGCAAGTAGACGTTTCACTATTGAAGAAACAATACTCAAGAAACACCAATTGTAAACTGTCTTTTCTGTATACAGAGATAGATTCGGAAAATACAAAAGAAATTCTGTCTGCAAGCCTGTGTAAGTCTCCTTCACAGAATTAAAATCGAAACTCTTTTCTCTGGTTCAATGTCATGTTCTTCATTGAAAACAAGTAAATTTTATTTTCATTTTTTTTTTTTTTTTTTTTTTTTTCCAAACAAAATTGCTTTTTTCTTTTTGTTTCAATAAGTTTTTTTTTCTTTTCCCAAATCTCAAAAACAGCTTTTAATTTTTTTTCCTATTGACAACTCACTTTAGTGTGAAGAGCAGAGTGATTTTCCAACTCGTAGCAACGTTATAAAAACAACTGAACGCTTTTCATTACTTCTTGTAACCCTTATAGCAGCGTCTTCGTCGCTAATATTCTAATGAAATTTGTTGACTTATTCAGTACCAAAAGTTTAAATCCCAAGGGACATCCTAGCATAGTTGGAACACGATCTGTGTCAAATACATCACGTGCAAGAAAAGCAAAAAACAAAACAAAAATCTTTCTAAGGAACCATCAATATACCTCCCATAAACCAGTACGGCAGAACATTTTGCATCCTCTCTTGATTCATCAAGTTGGACACTAAATAATGGAAGTCGAGTACATTTATTTTCTTGGATTGCCTGATCAAGAATATCAACAAATATCTGCGGAGTGTCGTTATGAACTTTCATACCATAATGCGAACAAAGTCTTTAAGAGCACTAGTACTGTAATAGAACACTGCACCTTGATGCCGTCTTTTCGGTGGCATGTGCCAAAATGAATCTCTTAACAGAAGAAAAAAAAGCCTAGTCACTATTCATTACACATGTCTAGTAAATCAAACAGAACTTGAGAGGAACTCCAATCCACTCCTCCCCTGAATCGGTGATGGGGCTCAGGCCGACTGTTGCCGTTGGTGCTACTGAGAGCACTAGGCAAGGTGCCGCTTGTCACCGCCCTAAAACTTTAGTTATTATGCAGGGAAAATCCCTGATCTCAGCAAACTACTCTATACGTCACCGGCTTTTCAGTTTACTGCTGCATAGGCGAGGGTTGGTTTCTCTTTTGAAAAACCACCTCACAAATGATCTGGTAGAGAGCAGAAACATAGGTGGGAAGGATACTCCGACTCTAAGTACCATTACCATTAAGTCTTTTACCATTACCAATATATATAGAATAATAGGAGATTTCAATGGCCTTATGGGGGATATTGTCGATATCGATACAAACGCCCCAGGGCGCTATTAAGAGGAGGTCTAGCTCACAACCAACCTTACCAGGCTGCAAAAGGC